ATTGAACCGCAGTCCCTGTGCTTTGTTAAGCTTGTTCTAAGTAGGTGCTTTAGACCACTGAGCCATCTCACCAGCCCGGCACAGAGTTTTAGTTTTACAAAATAAGTTCTCCTGTGTGGTTGCAGAGAAGCATGAATATACTCAATGCCCTTGAACTACACATTTAAAAATGGTTACATAGGTAATTTTACGTTATAAGAATTTACCGTAATTTTTTAAAAAGAGAGAACCTTTCCCCAAAGTAATAATAAGAACAGAGACAGCCCAGGTACAAGACAGAAGGCTCCATCACTCACTCTGGGAAATAACCTGCTACTTCTAGAAAAGTCAGGCTGTACTTCCTATCCCCATGGGGGAAACAGGAAAGAGCTGCACATACTGCACTGCTTTAGCACCAAGCAGACAGGTGCTACTCCACTGTCTCCCTTGCCCCAAGAAGGGCATGGAGGTCACTCTTCTGCTGGCCTGTGATGCGTGCTTGGGATCCACAGTGCGCCCATTCTGACCCACTGCACCTATCACCAACATGTCACAGGCCACTCTCCTCCTAGGCCCTCCGCTCCCTGAATGACTGAATGTGACATTCCAAGCACACACCAGGGCTGACACACAGCTCACACAGATGAAAAGGACAACAAAAGAGATGTCAGTCATGTGCTGCACCAGATGGACTCTACCCACTGTGGTGGCTTTGCACACAGAGGTAGAGGCCCAACGAGACACAAAGCACAGGCAGCCACCAAGAGGAAATCAGGAGCAGCCTAGAGTGCCCAGCCAGGAGGAAAAGGGGGCCTCAGCGCCACAGCGCGTGGACCTGCATTCTGCCAACAGCCCAAATAAGCAGGAAAGTGTCTTCTCAAGGCCTCCAGTATGAACCCTGGCCCTGCTGACAACTTGATGTTAGCGCTTGAGACTTCTGACTCACAGAAATGTAATGCAAGAGAACCAATGTGGGTTGTTTTACACCAAAGAGAAGAGTCAGCTGTACGTTAACAATGAATGAATTTTGCCTGAATTTTTTTTAAAAAGCCTAAAAAGATAAAGAGAACTCTCCTTCCAGTGATGTGCTTTGCAGTCAGATACAGTAAACTGACAACACGAAGCACAACTACATTTTATTGAGTTCTATACTCCTAAAGGTCCTCTGTTTGTGAGAGTTCATGGTACAACTGAATCACAGGGAGCTGAGCATAGTTATAATAGCGTGGGCTCACCGCACCTTGGAGAACCTGACCGCGTGGGCGTGCTGGGCAGCCTCCAACTGAGACCTGGTCAGCTGCAGCTGATCCTTCAGCATGTCGACCTCTTTCTGGAGCTTGTCGGTCTGTGCCTTTGCTTTATACTCTGTGTGTGCAACAGAAATCTTGTTACAACAGCATCTCTATGAAACCTAATGGAAAACCTAAGGGGCACGGTCCCATTGATAACACAAAAGGCAACTGCAAATATTGGGATGTTCTTATTGGTTTCATGCCATGAGCCTAGTTTTGTTCTTTAGTGTTTAGAGTGCTTCGTAAGACTGGGCAAAGCATTAACTTTCAGCAGCTTTCTTCAGCCATGGTGCTAAGACTGGATTTGACTTATTAGCACTCCTGAGTGGCACTCTGAGTGATGCTTAAGAGATGCCTGTGTCCGTCAGAGGAAGGAAACAAAGGCTTCTACTCCAGGTGCCACCATATTGAAATCATGGTGGCCAGCATTCTTCCAGCACCCACCAAACTCTCCAGGAGACAGGGCAATGCCAATTCAAGCAGAAGGCTGGCATTCCTACACTCTCGGGCCACACCCTGTCAGCTAGGGCAAAAGCAAGAAACTGAAAAGTTGTAAAAGGAAACAACAAGTGAAGGGAAGAATATTTATGTACATGTACTTACATGAAGATGCACACATGACTGAATGGATATACATGTGTCTGTGAGTGTAGACATGAAAGGTATGGAAACCAAAGTAGAAAGTCAGAATCTCAAAGATGACCTGAAGAAATAATACTCATTTCAGAGTGGGAAGTACCCTCTGAAACGAGTATGAGAGAGAATAAGATACTGAAACAGAAGAGAAAGAAGGTCAGTTTCACACTGAAGAATGGTAGGTTAACCCAACTCTTTCCTCTTTCCCACTTTTCTGACATCTTGCTGTACTCTGTCAAAATCATCCAAGGTTTATGGATGGAATTGTATTCTCTTCCCACAAACCTTGGCTATTTGCTAATTAAATCAATTTACTTGAAATGGGCAGGAATGAAAACAGATTGGCCCAAAATGCAAGAGTAATAAGCTAAGTAGATAAATCTAGATGCTGAAAACATTGAAGGTCGTAGTGAACTTCTGTGGGTCAGTGCAGTGGAATGCTCTGATCTACTCATGGAGAAAGAGAGCTTCGACTCTTCGCTGGTGGCAACACTTCAGCAGTAGCAAGAACCCTGCTTCTTTGTAAGCCATGGAATCTCCTCCTCTCTTGCATTTTCACCTCTACCTCCATATTCTAGTTAGTTCCCATCAGTACCCAAACACAACATCTCTTGTGTTCAACAAAACACATTTTCTCCTAGGCCCACATATTGGTTCAGATGATACCTCCCATTTCAGCATCTGTCTAGCAAACATTAGTGAAATCAATGTCCGTATCTGCTAGGACCACTCCCTTAGAATTCTCTGCTCAGGTTATTCTGACAGAGCTTTTGTCCCCATGAGTCCACTGAAGCTGCTATGTCAAGGTCACCAATAACACCTAGACAACAGTCCGTTCTCCACCTGCACCTTACTCTGTGCTTCAGGAACATTCAGCACACTCCACCACTGACTCCTCGAAATACTATGCTTCCCTAACACACCATCCTCGGATCTCCCTCCTGCCCATGGACGCTGTTTCTCAACCTCCACCTGCTCTTGTGGGGTCCTAGTGCACACAGAGCCTGGATACTGCGCCAGGTCTTGTGTTCTCCAGCCATCAGCCTCGCTCTCCTCCAGCGACGCCCAGATTCCCATCTGCATCCTGGCCTCTCTCCACGTGGAACTGCAGACCTCCAGGATGCCTATTTCATGGTTATTCTCTGTGGGCTATAAGCCTACCTATGGCCAACATAGCCTCTCCCCCAGCCTTCCTCTTCCAAGCCATTGCTCACTCCCAGTAAGCATCACCACTGTTCACAATGGTTTCGTTTCCACCTCTCACTGGCTCGCGTCTCTGTAGCTCTGTGTCTAACACACAGCCATTCCATCTTTCTTTCCTGCTCTGCCCTGCAACCATCCAGGCTCCCATCATCCCTCACCTGTGCTTCTGAGTACTCCTGCTTGTGAGCCCTGTGGTCTGTTCTCCACCCACAGCTAGAGGGACCACTTGAAGGTGCAAGTTGTATCATGACCCCTCCCCACTTGGAATCCTCCAGTGGTTTCTCATTATGCTTCCCCAGAAATACACATTCTGGCTGAAGCCTTCAAAGGCTTATGTGATCCAGCCTCTACCCCTCTATGCTTCATCACACTTTGCTACTCTTCTCACTGTCCTCTGCCAGCCTCCTTGTTCCTTGGACATTTCTGGCCTTTTATAATCAGGGTTCCCTGCACCTCCTCCTTTTTCCCAGTTCTTGCCAGGCTAGAACCTCCTCCTCATTCTGGCCTCTCCCTAGTTATGACTTACACTGAAGGCCTTTCTCCATCCCAGTCTTCTGTTTCACCATCTTCACCATGTTTGCCACTATATGAAAAGGATTTCTCCTTCATTTGCTAAACTGCCTCCTCTGCCCCGCCATTAGGATGTCCAACTCCAAAGACCAGGACTTCTCTATTCAATTTCTGGCTGTATCTTCAGCACATAGGGCACTGCATGCACATAGTAGGGGTTCAATATTTACTTCCTGAATGAGTAAAAGACTATGAGGCTTTCTTCTGAAAGGGACTGAAAATGCACTGGGCCATGTGTCACTGAAAAGGAGAAAAAAGAGAACAGAGAAAACAGCTCATTTCTTACCAATGTGAGCATCTTCAGGGTGGCGGCGTTGAACGTGGCTTTGTAGAAAAGCACGGTTCATAAAGGCCTTGTCACAAAAATGGCACTGGAAAGAAGAAAGCAACAAATCCAAGTGTTTGTAACATGTGTCTTCTTGCCTAATTGCAGTTCAAATTCAGGTACCAGAAGTATGTGCCTCTTGGGGGTTTTCTCCTCCAAAGATACCAACCTGGTAAGGGAGAATACAAGCATCACTGAAAACATAAACACAGGTTGTTTAGGTTGTTCGTCCCAAAATGAACCCAAAGCAGCTTTTAGGGACATTATCTGTTCACAGTCAAAGTATCCTTCTGGTGCTTTCTGGAACCCCAGCTGCTGCTCCCATTAGAACAGCGGCTTCTACTCCATCGCCACGCACATGGTCAGGACACTTTGGCCTGATGCCTTCTTTCCGTCCCAAGGCCTTACAACCTCAGGGCCCAGCATTCGCTGCTCCCTGCCTGATCTTTCCCAGCCCTTCTCAAGGCCAGAACCCTCTTGATATTCAAGACAACATCCAGGATCCATTCTCTGCACTGGGGAGAGCATTAGATCTGCAGCAAGGTCTTCCCAGGTTTTCCAGCTGGTTACAGCCCACTGTTTCATTTATTAAAATTAAAATCTTGACATTTATTTACTTCAGTTGCTCAGTGTCAGTCCCCCCCCAAGTTCCTGGGCCTTAATCTGTCTCATTCACAGCATAAACACAAGATTGAACAATGTTCAGAAATATCTGGCTTACTGAAATGAATTTTCTGAGGATAAAAAAGGAATTCATCCAATATTCTTTCTTTTTTTTAACTCGTACATTGATTTGCAGTTAGGCAGAAGTTCAACTTGTTTCATCTATGTCCTTACTCTAGAGTAGATTCTGGATATTCTATATTCCTCTTGCGAATATTTAAGAACATACATGCAAAAGAAACGGACTTCCACTCAATCCTAATATAATAACGGCAATCATAAGAGCACGATTCCACTTTTAAATGAAAATGAAAACCTTAATATCAACAAATGTCCAACCCTTAGTTAGCTTGTCCCCTCAAACCTCACATAGTTTTAGAAAAAAAATTCAGTTTGTTTTGAAATAAGCTTTTATAAGGATCACATCCCACAACTACTCGGTTTGTCTCTTCACTGTTAGTCTATAGGTTCCCCTCTGTCTCTCTGTTTTTTGTTTTTTGTTTTTTGTTTTTTGCTTGCTGTCTTTTGCTAAACAGCTCAAACACTTGTCCTGCAGCATTTCTGTCTATTTTTATCTCTATTGTGCCTTTTTCATTTTGCTGCTTTTTCTTGTTTTTTTTTGAGCCTGGGTCTCACTATGTAATGCAGAGTGGCCTTGAACTCGCTTATGTAGTCAACGCTAGCCTCAAACTTACGTGGATCCTTCTGCCTCAGCCTCCAGAGTGTTGGGATTACAAGCGTGTACCACCACATCCAGCTTGCTGTGCCACTGTAGCATGTTTTTATTCACTGATCTCCTTATTCAGCAATACTGCTTCTAGACTTCAGCTTTAGGTTTCCAAAAACACTACTATCTGGCATATTTCTCAGCACCACTGAGAACCTTTCAGTCTTCTGTGCTCACGGTAGGTTTCCCCACAGAACAGCAGACTGCCTGTACTTACTCTGACGCAAATACAGGCCATACAGGCTCCAGGGCCATGTGCCGCACTGAAGAAACGACAAGACAGGATACCATGCCTCCCTTCTCCCCGTCCCTGCTCACCACAGGCGGCCAGAAGGTGCTGTAACAACAGTGCAGCCTTTCCAGCTTTCTGGGAGGATAAGTCAGGGGGGCTGCAAGTTCAAGTCCAGCCTGTGCAACCAGTAACTTAGCAAGTGTTATGGTTTGTGTCTAGGTGTCCCACCCAAAGCCTCATGCAGTCACAGGGCGACTTCTAGAGTTTGTGATTAATTCGTGATCCAATGCTGGGCAGGGGACATAGCTCAGTGGCATGAGTGTGCCTGGCAAGAATTCCCAGTACCAAAAAGAAAAAAAAAAAAAAAAAAAAAGCATGCTCCCTCGAGCAGCACATACACTAAAAAAAATTAAAGTAGTCCAAAATTACAGTTGAGTGAAATAATGTAAATGTTACAACCTGGAAAGCTGAGAAAGAAGTTTTAGCCTCCAACACAACTGATTCTATTTGGAGGAGAGGCCTTTAAGGCAGTGATGAATGCTAAAGACAATCACAGGGCAGGGTGCCTGGTATGACAGAACTGCTGTTCTTATAATCAGAGGAAGACAGGGCAGGTTTTCCCTGCCTCCTTAAACAGAAAAGGGTAAAGTAAGAAGGTCGCTATCTACAAGCCAGGAAGCAAGGCCTCACCAAAAACCAGTACTGCTGACCCTCTGTACTTAACTTAGACTTCCAGCTTCTAGAATTTTGTAGAAATAAAGTTTTGTTGTACAAGCCACCTCCTCTTGGTATTTTGTGATGGCGCACCTAGCTGACCAATACAGGTTTATAAGTATGATATCCTTTACATCAAGTTTTCAAACTCAAAATCTGACACAGAGTACTTGTTCTCTTCTCTCTCAGGTTTTAGCTAAAACAAAACAATATCCCAATCACTGTCCTTCAGTCCCCGTTAACAATTTCTAATCTAACCCACAGGGGATGGAGGTCAAGATCAGAAATGTTCAATCCTTTTAAATCTTGTTGCTATGCAAGTGAATGTTAGGAAATACACACAAAAAAATTAGGAGTCTACTAATTCATTTTTAAATGGATTTGATGTAATAAAAGAGCTAGAAGAAATAAATGGTTCAGATGGACAAAAAAAGCTACAGGAAATACATCAAATAAGGCAGATGTTAATAATTGGTAATTCAAGGTTAACGGAGTATCAAAAGTACTTTTGAAAATACTTAAAAATTTTTAAAAGAAAAGAAACCCATAAAATGAATCATATTCCCAGCTGTTCCCGAGCTGACCCCAACAGCAATTTGTACAGGATTGATTTTTTTCATGACATTGATGGAAGAGGAAACAGGTTCTCCAATCAGCATCTAGATGAATTCAATAAAGCACTGCAGACAACACTGGGTATTTAATTATTAATTCCTAGGCCGGCTGCAAAGTTAATGAACGATGTGCTGCTGGTTAAAAGCACTGTTTTGCTTAAGCACGCTGTTTCTCCTCATGCTGGGCACAATCTCTGACTAGAAACAGCGGTGCTGTAGGAAAGCTGTCTTAAGTGGGAACCGGGTAGTTTGGGCTTCGGTCAGCGCGGCTTCTCACCTGGTAATAGCTGGCTTTGGCCTCGATCATCAGCTGCTGGGTGGAGATCATCTTCTTCCTGCGCTTACACTCCTCTTTGAGCAGTTTGATCTCCCCCGCCTGCTTGGTGAGCAGCTCCTTGCTCTGCTCGCAGTCGCCCAGGCTCAGGCGCAGCCGCTCCTCCAGGCCTTGCAGCTGCGAGGTGAGGAACTCCTGCGAGTGCATCAGGTACTCGATGGTGAGCTGCGCCAGGCGGATGAGCTTCAGCAGCACGGGGTCCACCCCTGAGTGGCAGTGTGGGCACTTCTCATCCTCCAGTTTGCAGAAGGTGATGTTCATGATGTTCTCTTGCAGCGTCAGCACGTCCACGGCTCCCGCCACCTTGTCCACGTCGATCGCGCTCAGCCGTCGCCAGTCCACGCTCTCGAGCCGCGGCCGGAACTGGAAGAAGGGCAGGGGTCCCCACGCCGCGCTCGGAGGGTGACTAGTTATAGAGGCCGCGCCGGCCGCGGGGGCATCCGGCCCCTCGGGGCAGCTGGCGAGCGGGTAGTAGACGCGCTTTTGGAAGGGCTGCAGAGGAAGAGGGCGGCAGGAGCTGGATTGAAGGCAGCAGGCGGGTTAGGGGAGTCCTAGAGAGCACAGCCAACCCCGCAGGGCATTCCCGGACGCGCACTCCCGGCCTCCCGCCCCTTACCATGCTTGCGAGCCAATCCGCCGCCTGTGCGTGCGCGGGAGGAGCAGGCGGGCTCCTTCACCAGACCCGGGCCGCCGCCGCCACGCCCTCGCGAGCTGCAGCAGGCGGTGCCTCCTCGGCGGCGGCGGCCGCTAGAGGTCTGGGCGTCCAGGACGTTACTATGGCAGCGCCGGGCCTGCAGCTGGAGCAACCGGCGAGCGCGCGCCTGCGCGCTGTCAGCGGGCGCCCAGGGCCCTGTGGACCAGAGAAGACTCGTGGATGAGCCCCGGTGACATGCCCGTTGTCCCTCCGGAAGGGAACCTCCTGCTTCCTAGAAGCACCACCCCCCTTGGCCTTTGGGGGTGAACAGTGCCTGTCCTTAAGCTAGGGAGTTGTCCCCAGGACTTTGGCCCCAGCTACCAACCTCTGTCGATCCAGTGCTCCACTTAGGTTTTGAGATTGGAAATATACATTTATTTTTATCTTTTACAAGCAATTTAGACAACATGTAGCAACAAAACTATGTAAAATTAATTGACAGCAAAAGTATGGGGAAAAAAACCTGTGGTAATAGAAATGTTCCTCATTTCCATGGTGGTGGGAATTGCTGGGGATTACATATTTGTAAAATTTATGGAATTGTATGCTTCACATTAAGGGTGTCCTTTGCATATTACACCAGAGTGTTTGCGTGTGTGTTTTAAACTTGTAGTTACACTTGATGGCAAACTTTCTAAATTTCTTTCTTGGGGGTGGGCATTGAGGTACAGTCCAGCTATGTAGTTCAGACTGGCCTTCAACTGTGTAGCCCAGGCTGGCATCAAACTCAAGGCCATCCTCCTGTCTCAGCCTCCTGAGTGCTGGGATAACAGATGTGTGCCACCATGTCTAGCCAAGATACTTTTATGTATTTAGAACAAGGTCTCACTACACAGATCAGACTCTCAGTGATCCTTCTGTTTTCGGCCTTCCAAGTGCTGGGATTATAGGCGTGATGCCCAGTCTCAATCGCCATCTCAGCGTGCCCCGGAGGTGGGGCTGGCACGGCACGGCAGGCATCAAACCGCGGCCACTGCCCTCTGCCTGAGCAGGCGCTTTAGTCGCTGAGCTATCTGGCTGGCCCCAAGATACTTTTATTAATGAAATTCTTCTTCCTCTGTATGTGGCAGCCTAAATATAACATTCTTCTTTTTTTCTTTTTGAGGTAAAAAATTACAGCACAAATAGGTTAACTAATTGCCTGTCTCTGGGTATCTCAGAACTGAGTGTGACATCAAAGATCCACACCCCAGGTGACCACAAAACTACAAACCAGGAGAGTAAGTACTGGCTCTGTTTCATAAAGCTGCAAACCAGACCCACCCGCCACAATATGGAAGAGCTCCCTTGTCCTTCCAAAAGGTACTGTCAAAATACAGAAGATAAAAACGGGACCCTCAGCCTCCAGCTGCCCACCCACCAAGCTTTATTTACGAAGCTACCCTATTTACCTTACAAACTTGTGTGTCGGCTGCATTCTACTGTCTCTGGAGAAACTAAAATATTTCTAGCACCGACTTGCTGCTTGCAGGCCTCTCATCTTGGGGTTCTGGGGGATACCAGTGTTCACCAAAGAGATCAGCGTGCTGAGGAAGGGCCAGGCATTCCTCAGTCCACCCGGGAGTCCCTGCTGGGACCAACCATCGGGAATTTTTTTTTCTTTCCTAACAGCCAGATACGTGAACAGAAGAAAGGAAAATACAATTCAGAGTAACTGCAAGCAAGTTGTAATATCAACATATGTAGCAATACCCAGACATTAGGAACCAGAAATAAACCCATAGGAAAAGCACCCAGGAAATGATAAACCATAAATCCACACAATAATGAATGAGCCTTTATAAGAAAAGGAAGGAAGAAATCTATTAACGACTCAAGTGCTGCCTGCACAAAATTCCTAAAGACAAAGATAGACTCTAAGTTTGATTTTTCCTTTTACTTGCTGCCTGACCTGGGACCAATCTGGCAGTCCCAGGCCTCAACTTCCCCATCTGTTAAGGGCGTCACAATACCGACCTGACTGGTCTGCAGGATCGGGGCTCCATCCACTGGGGCTGCAGGATCCGCGGGAACAAGGGCCGTGGTCTCTCTCGCTCACCAACGTATCCGCAGCACCTAGCGCGAGACCCACACGGAGCGGCGTTCAGTGTGCCCAACAGGAGTGAGGAACAGCCGCATAGGTTCGCCGCTCAGTTCCCGGGCCTGTACCCCTCAGTTTTCCCTTCCTCTGGTAGAGAACACTTGCTCTGGGCCAAGGGCCTCAGAGCTGCTAGTGGAGGCAGCCCGCGCGTCCCCACCGCGATCCCGGCAAGGAGGGGCGCAGGCCCGAGGCACCCATCCCCGCTCGCGGCCACCGCTCCAGCCTGGGCGTCCGCTGATCCGCACCCTCGCCTTGTAGGTTGGATCTCGGTCCCAAAATGGCCGGAACAGGAAAGAAGGGGGCACGCTTTCCTGTTCCCTCCGCCCCCCATCCCACGCAGGGCCCCTATCCCTGCGCCTCAAGTCCCCGCCGGGGCACCCTGCACTACCGGCCTGCAGAGCCCGCGAAGACAAAGGCGGAGCGATGCGGGCTCCGGTGGGGCTTCGGCGCCTTCCTTGGAAGACCCACGGGGAGCCGAGCGGGGTCCGCAGCGGCGCGGATCGCGGCCGGCAGAGGCGGGAGGAGGCCCGGCGCGGCGAGCACCGAGATGCTCCGCGGGCGCCCGGCGCATCCCTGGCCTCGGCTCACCCCAGCTGCGCGCTCCTGGGCGGGTGCCGGGCGCGGCAGGCGGACGGAGCTGCACACGAGATCCAGACCCCAGGGGCGCAGCTGGAGCCCGCGGGGCTCGCTGAGGCAGAGGAGCAGCCGAGCCGGAAAGGCGGGCGGGTTCTTTCTTCCAGGATGCAAGATGCAGCGTGTCTGGTCGGGGCAAGTTGTGACTAGGCGGGTCGGCTGGCGCCGCTCCGGGCCTTCCCAGATTGTGGGCCACGAGAGCCTCGGGATCCCCCACCCCCCTCCCGCCCCCTCCCCGCCGCGATCTCCTTCTGGCCGCCTCTGCCCGCCGCTCGGCCGCTCTGGAGGTGGGGTGGGGCCGCGCGGGTCCAGCCGCAGCGCCGAAATGCGCTCCGCCAATCCGGCGGCGGGTGCGGACACGTGGTGCGCGGCGCGCACTGTTGCTGGCGAGGGGTGCTGCCCCCGGGAAGCTTTCGGAAAAGCAATCAGATGGACTGTCACTACGGTTAGCCTGGCCTTCGGCTAGCTGAATCCCCACAGGAGCCTTAGGACAATTCTCTCCCAAGAAGAGATGCGTTTTAACCGCGGAAGTCTACAGATGAAACAGACCTCGAAGAGGCATTTCAGCGACCGGAGAACGAGACTGGAGAGTTTTTTGTCCGTACTCTACGACTTTAACCCACGCTGGTGTCCAAGTTGGTTTCCACATTGGTTTAGATAAGACCACTTTAGGATGAGAACTGTGGATCTGTTGGTGGATTATTAGGGGGTGGGAACTGGGGGGAGACGTCCTGGGTAATGAATATTGTAGCTGTTTCTTTAACCTACAACTGGGAACGTATGGTCTGACAGTGGGATCAAATTAATGGTGGTTTTTTTGGGGTGTTTTGTTTTGTTTTGTTTTGTGTTTTGTATTTTAAAATAAGTAATTCAGAAAGTATCCATACTGTATTTTAGCAACCATGGTGTTGAGCCAGATTGAAAATTTTGAGTTTTTTTTTTTTTTTTTTTTTTACAAAGTCTAAATGACGACTGTAGCAAAAACTGAAATTTAACTTCTAGAGGAGTAGCTACAGAATATGTACTGGACAATATGTCATTGCAAAACATACTTTTCACTGTGCTTCCCAACTGAATAAATCTTTTCTGTTTTGTCTTTTTTTTTTTTTAGGTAGGTTCTTGCTAGGTAGTACAGGCTGGTCTATGAACTCATGGTGATGTTCCTGCCTCAGCCCCCCAAGTTCTGGCATTACAGGAGGGTACCACCACATCCAGTCCTAATTGAGTCAATCCTATGCCATAAGTCAGCACGAGTTTTCAAACGCAGTAGCAAGTTAATGCATATTTATATTGGATCCCTTATGTTCAATTCCTTTTGCTGAAATCATAAGGTCTGGACAGCCAAGGTTGAATGTTAAACTTAGCAAAATTTTTTTAAAAAAGCTTTGAAGTTGGGAAAACATTCGAGATCCATAAAAGACCTCAATGTACTGTGGGTGAAGATTTCTAGGTAGAAATTTCAGGTGCTATGAAGTTGGGCTATTGCATTGCTTTACAAAAGCTGACTCTGTTAGAGTATGTGGATTTGTGTATGGCAAATGACTAAATCACATTATTTGATAATATAACATTTAAGTTATAGTACAAGTTTTTGAGATTCCCCGCTGTTGGCATTGTCCCCCACAGGCATAGTGTTCACATAAGTAGGGTGAGCTGTTGAATTAGGCACAGCTCAGCAGCCATCACATGTTCTGGATCCTTTGTGCAAGTCTTGCATGCCAATTATCACATTAAACATTTTTTAAAAATTATTAAGTTACCTCTCTCTCTACCAGAGTATGAGTCGTAAGCATGCTAGCATGTCTGCTAGTAGTAACCAGAGAATACTTGGTTTGTTTGAATACAGACACAAAATTTTGTTGTCTTCTGCACCTGTGTTCTCTATCATTATAGACTTTCTCTTTCTTTAAAAGTCACTTTCCTATAGTTTAGGGAAGTTTCCACAGAGAGCAAAACTGGATGCCTGTGTTTCATATTCATTATAACATAGAATCTGAACATGGGAGCTACATACTAAGGATGGTGGAGCACAACTGTGTTGATGGGAAGGTCTCCTGGCACTGCCTGGCTCTAGGGACTTTTTCCAATTTAAATACAATGATCTTTTCTCTAGACACTTGTATGTTGTCCTTTTGGAGAAAGTCAAGTTTTAACTGCTGGGTAGAACCTTCTGCATCCCATGTTATGGCTACTCTTTGAGTGTTCAACACATATACACATACATACTCTTCTCTGTCTCTCCCTCTCTTTCTCTCTTTTTTTTTGGTAGTCTTAGGGAAGGGTCTACAAAGTGTTCAGAGTCTCACTACTAGATCAGACTCGTAGTGATCCACCAGTTTGCAGCCTCCCAAGAGCTAGGATTACAG